AGTGGAAATGGCGCCTGGAATGGGGGGCTGGAAAAAGAAAAAAAACAGAAAAAGAAAAAAAAAAAAAAAAGAAACTCTTGAGGCTTGTCCAAACCTACTCATGTTTATATTGGAGCCCGTGAGTGACATCAGAGCAGGGAGAGTATAAACACCAGCAGGACCTACTCGGGGCTTTAAAACCTGCGAACACGCCGCTGCCTCCAAACTGCCTGGGGGGTGATGTGCTGAAGTGGCGGAGGGGAGAGCAGCATGAGGCTCCAGCTGGAGAAGCAGCTCCTCTTCCTCTCCCTCCTCTGCATCCTCTCCAAGGTAAGGGAGACGGGGCCCTGGGGTGGCTTTAGCCTTGCTCAGGGAAGCACCCAGTCCTTGCAAAGTGAGATGCAGGGAGGGCTGGGGTGTCACAATGAGCCCGGCTGGCCGATGGGCTGTATTTGTGCAGTTCCAAGGGGGCAGAGCTAGGCTGGGGGAGAGACATTTGTAATCAAGGGTCTTAACGTTCACGGGCCAAAGTTGTGCAAGTCCAGGGAGCAGGCAGGAATGACAACAATGCAGTGTTTGCTCGCCCGTCCCCGCAGCTCTCCCAGGGCTGTGGTATGTGTCCCTGGGAGCAGCAGCTCGGCGGTAGCGGCTCCTGCAGACTCCTTGGTCCCTGCCCAGGCTCCCAAGGCAGGGGGCCAAGCAGCAAGCACCAGCCTCAGCATTCCTCAGCTCTCCCCCCCTTCCCCGGGATGCTTGTGCAAAGCCGATGCCTCTGACACGATTTGGGTTGTTGCAGTGATTTTTTAATTATTTCTTTTTTTTTTTTTTTCCTCTTGGACTCCATGTGAAAATAATTGCCTGTGCAGAGAACAGGGAAGTTGAAAAGTTTGGCATATCTCAGCTCCAAGTTCTAATTGCTGCTTAAATCCCAAAGCAGACCTTCTGCAAGCAGGGACAGCACGGCAGCGTCGTGCCTATTTGGCTCCTTTCCCAGACAGTTAAGATCTCTGATAGGAGCCACATTGTCATCTAAAGACAAGTTAATTACAAGGAGCAGGGGGAAATGGATTAATGGAGTTGGCTTGGCTAATCTTTCTAAAACATTGATTTGTAATAGCAACCTCCTGAAAGATGAAAAATGCCCTTGGCTGCCTGGGTAAGCTGTGATGGAGAAATGACTCCTGCTCCAGGCGCTCACGAGTGCCTGGAGAATCACCAAGGGCCCTCGTGCCTCCAGCCCAAACCTGGCCACCACAACCAGTCCTTCCATCCCTGCTGCGAGTCCCTCTCTGGGTTCTGCTACACTAATCACGCTGCTCGTTGATAAAACTAGAACAAGCCACAGATTGCCCAGCCCACTTCGGATATATTTTATCTCTAATTTCTGGCACTGACTTATCTACAGCCCCATAAAAAACATCCGAAATGCTGCAAATGGGGAGCAGATAACACACCAGTACCTACCTTCTCCGTTTAACTGGTAACGTCAGACCTGATGCTACTGGGAGAAACTAAAAGAGGAAGAAAAACAGTATCTAAAATCTACATGGTCCAGCTAAACCCTTCGGTCTCTTGGCAGCCTCAGCAGACACACCAGTATCTGGACCAGCAGAGGGATGGATTTTTTGGTTGTGGGTTTGCTGATCTGCTGCCTACGTTGCAGGAGCAGAGCGTGTGTGGTGCTGAGCAGCCAGGCTGCCGGGGGGGGGCTGGGGCTGCTGCGGGGGGGCTCACACACGCTGCCGGGGCCAGGGCTGGCAAAGCATTCCCTTCCAAACTGCAGAGCCAGCTCCCTTGGCTTCGGGCCCCGTATGCAACAAGCCCTGTCAGATACGGCACGACGGCAGCACGAGCGCTGCCTGCAAAAGCTCCTTGTGCCAGGGTAATCGTGCGAGCAGAACGAGCCCTGGATAGAAAGACCTACCTGCCTGGATTGAACTCCTGCAGGCACATCCCTGGCAAACAATCGGCTGAGCAGTGCACAGCCCTGCCCCAGGGGTGTAGCTCGGAGGGGAAATGGAGCTCCCCATCCTCGAAAACATGCCTATCTCAGGGCTGCTCACCCAGCAGGACAGGCAGAGGATGCTGCAGCCGGGGCCAGGCAGAGGAGGCAGCTGGACCAGGAAGGAAAGCAGAGAGCTTCACTTGGCTTCAGTTCCCCCACTGCTGATGTGATGCCCTGTTCCTTGGCACAAAATAGAGCTGTTAAGACCGTTTGGAGTGAGGTGCTGTGCCCTCACCATGTGCATTCAGCTCCCTGCAAAGCCACATCTCCAGCTGGGCACAAGTCGCTGCCTCGGTGGCTGGCATGGGGCAGGCTGCTTTCCCTTCCTTCCTCCTGCTGGGCTGCTTAAGGGCTCCCAGCCCCCTTAAATAACCACCCCTGCCTGGGATGTCCGCCTTGTAGCTCCATCCTCCTCCTGGAGGTTTAAGTCCCCATCCTGCAGAGTATGCCTGATTCTCCCTGGTTTTCCATAGGTGCCCATCACGCTGTGCCCCAGGGGGACAGTAGCTTTCCAGGCTGCTTTGCCATATTCCCATGGATTCGCAGAGCCTCCCTCTGCTGAAAACCCGCCTCATCACTGGGAGGAGGTTACCTGCCTGCCCTAGTGAATATAGCAGCCATTAGCCAAAAAAACAACCCGTATGGAATCAGGGGTGTCTTTGCCTCCGCAGGTGTGTGCCCAGCTGTGCCGGAGACCATGCTACTGCCCCTGGGTGCCACCCCACTGCCCCCGTGGGTCCCCCCTGGTCCTGGATGGCTGTGGCTGCTGTAAGATCTGTGCCCGGCGCCTGGGAGAGCCCTGCGACTTCCTCCACGTCTGCGACCAGAGCCAGGGCCTCGTCTGCGACTACAGCGCGGCGCCCGCGGGGACAGGAGCCACCTGCAACTGTGAGCACAGGGGTGTCCATGTCCCCTGAGGATGCCCCCATGTCCCCAGCCCAGCATAACCCCAACCAGAGCCCCGGGCAGCACCAGGCATCCCGCAGGGCTTCCAGGGAAGCGGTTGAGGCTCTGAAAGCAGCTTTTTTTGAGGCTGATGGATGCAGCTTGGCCTCGGGGCTGTGCCACAGCTTCAACCAACTCTTGTGCCATCCCCAACGAGGGATTCAGGGTGGTCTGAGTGGGGATGGACACAGGGTGGGGGTCCTGGGGATGCCGTGGTCACCCTGCCAGGGTTGGAGCCTGGGGATCCTACAGAGAACTTTCAGAGAAACTTTTTCAAGCCTGAACACCCTGAAAGGCAGGGTCAGAGCTGAAGGGCAGTAGGTTCCTCACCAAGTGGTGAGTTGCTGCTTTGAAAAGACGGAGATCAGAAGAGGAGGCAGGAAGGGGGCACAGCTCGGAGGGGAAATGGAGCTCCCCATCCTCGAAAACATGCTTATCTCAGAGCTGCTCTCCCAGCAGGAGCAGGACAGGCAGGGGATGCTGCAGCCGGGGCCAGACAGAGGAGGCAGCTGGACCAGGAAGGAAAGCAGGGAGCTTCACTTGGCTTCAGTTCCCCCACTGCTGATGTGATGCCCTGTTCCTTGGCACAAAATAGAGCTGTTAAGACCGTTTGGAGTGAGGTGCTGTGCCCTCACCATGTGCATTCAGCTCCCTGCAAAGCCACATCTCCAGCTGGGCACAAGTCGCTGCCTCGGTGGCTGGCATGGGGCAGGCTGCTTTCCCTTCCTTCCTCCTGCTGGGCTGCTTAAGGGCTCCCAGCCCCCTTAAATAACCACCCCTGCCTGGGATGTCTGCCTTGTAGCTCCATCCTCCTCCTGGAGGTTTAAGTCCCCATCCTGCAGAGTATGCCTGATTCTCCCTGGTTTTCCATAGGTGCCCATCACGCTGTGCCCCAGGGGGACAGTAGCTTTCCAGGCTGCTTTGCCATATTCCCATGGATTCGCAGAGCCTCCCTCTGCTGAAAACCCGCCTCATCACTGGGAGGAGGTTACCTGCCTGCCCTAGTGAATATAGCAGCCATTAGCCAAAAAAACAACCCGTATGGAATCAGGGGTGTCTTTGCCTCCGCAGGTGTGTGCCCAGCTGTGCCGGAGACCATGCTACTGCCCCTGGGTGCCACCCCACTGCCCCCGTGGGTCCCCCCTGGTCCTGGATGGCTGTGGCTGCTGTAAGATCTGTGCCCGGCGCCTGGGAGAGCCCTGCGACTTCCTCCACGTCTGCGACCAGAGCCAGGGCCTCGTCTGCGACTACAGCGCGGCGCCCGCGGGGACAGGAGCCACTTGCAACTGTGAGCATAGGGGTACCCACGTCCCCTGGGGATGTCCCCATGTCCCCAGCCCAGCATAACCCCAACCAGAGCCCCGGGCAGCACCAGGCATCCCGCAGGGCTTCCAGGGAAGTGGTTGAGGCTCTGAAAGCAGCTTTTTTTGAGGCTGATGGATGCAGCTTGGCCTCGGGGCTGTGCCGCAGCTTCAGGCAGCTCTTGTGCCATCCCCGACTAGGGATTCAGGGTGGTTTGAGTGGGGATGGGCACAGGGTGGGGGTCCTGGGGATGCCACGGTCACCCTGCCAGGGCTGGAGCCTGGGGGTCCTCCAGAGAAATTTCAGAGAAACTTTTTCAAGCCTGAACACCCTGAAAGGCAGGGTCAGAGCTGAAGGGCAGTAGGTTCCTCACCAAGTGGTGAGCTGCTGCTTTGGAAAGACGGAGATCAGAAGAGGAGGCAGAAAGGGGGAGGAGGTTGGCTGATGCCCACACTGCTGCAAACCCATGTCTGCCCCACACACCTCTTAGTCACTTCTCTTGCCCCCCCCGTTCAGTCCCCTCATGCCAGCCCCACAGTTTCCCCCAGCAGTCCCCTCTGCCGTCCACACCTCTCTGTCACTGTGTCCCTAACGGTGTCCCCGGCTGTCACTTGCAGTTGAAGACAGCGAGGAGGGCTGCGAGTTGAACGGCCGGGTCTATCGAGATGGGGAGGTTTTCCAGCCCAGCTGCAAACTCCAGTGCCGCTGCCTGGATGGGGGCTTCACCTGCATCCCGCTCTGCCAAGAGGATGTCCGGCTGCCCACCCCGGACTGCCCCTACCCGCGGCGTGTGGAGGTCCCGGGGAAGTGCTGCCCTGAGTGGATCTGCGAAGCCCGGGACCAGCACCTCCTCCGGGATGCTGCGGCAGGTAAGATGCAAGACATGCCAGTGAGGGGATGCCCACGCAGGTCTCCGGGGATGGTTTCTTTATCCCAGACCATGAACATCAACAGAAAACACCTCATTGCACATTTCCCTGCCATGCAGGGGTATTTCTGCAGCAGAACCTGACTCTAACCACCCTTTTTCCCCCCTCATCTCTTTCCATCCAGCCCCTGGGGCAGTGTCCCCGCTGCTGCCATACCCCTGCCAGGAGTGGGGCACGGAGTGGAGCGCCTGCTCGGCCACCTGCGGCGTGGGCTTCTCCACCCGTGTCTCCAACCAGAACCACTTCTGCAGGCTTGAGACTCAGAGGCGGCTCTGCGTGGCCAGACCCTGCCCGGCCCTGCCGGCAGCATCCCCGGCGGTAAGTGAGGCCCTCAGAGAAGCTGGTGCCTCTGGGCAATAGGTTTGTCCGAGAAAGGGAAATGCCAGACAACTCGAGCTATGGGACCCCCCCATTAACTGTGGGCACCCCATCACCCCCAGCCACAACCTGACCATGTCTCAGGGGCAGACAAACCGTCTCCTGGAAGTGCACTTGGAAAACAGCTGAGGGCAGGCACAGGCTGGAATTTGGGTGTCTCTAGATGTCTGAATCCAAGAACACCGTGGATCCCATGTAACCCTGAGCCCCATAGGTGGGCTCGACCTGCCCCTATGGCTGGAGATGCATCTGCAGCTCCTGCCTGGCTCCCTGGGTACACCCAAGAAGCAGGGCTCTGCCACCCTTCTAATTAGCCTGGCACACCCCAAGTACGGACACAGTGCAAGGCTGCCTTGCGTGCATGCAGCTGGCACTTTCCAGGGCCAGGCACCCGCATTGCCACATGCCCCTGCTCCCTAGATGTGGGGGACACATCACCACCCCCTCCACTCCACCCCCATCACTCTCTGCTTTTCTTTTCCAGAGGGGAAGAGGAGGTCGTTTGTAGCTGTGCCCACCCCGGTCGCATCCCAGAGCCAACGCCTCATCCTGGCAAAGAGTCTGGCACAAGCCCACGGCACTGTGGTTTTGGTGGAGATGGAGGACATGTCCCTTGGGAAACTGGGGAAGAACTGATGGACTTTGGCTGTGAAGGAGGGTGGAAATAGAGAACAAGAGCCCCATGTTACCCAGCACCTGCCTGCTCTGTGCCCCACACTGCCCCAGGCAGGGTTACTGGGAAGAATCCCTGAGTTTCTGAATGAAATGAGAAATGGGGAAACCCTGCCCCGAGTGTGAACCTGAGAAACTAGGAAGTGGTCCTTTGCTGGATCGATGGGGCTTTTGGCGAGGTGATGCTGCTCCTCCAGCACGTCCCTCACGCACGCAGCTCTGCTCTGTGGGGGCTGTGAGAGACAGTCTCCAGCACCTGGAAGCCCAAATTCCCAGGGGAACCCTCACACCCTGGTGCCTCCCGGGGAAGGAGGAGGTACATGGGGCTGCACACCACCAACCACCACCACGCCAGACTGAGCGGCTCGACCGTGCACGAGCTCAGCCGTCCCACAATTATCCACCCTGCAGCCCAGCGGCCGCCTTCCTGGGCACGGGGCAGAGGCATCCTCCTGATGGCAGCTCTAATTCACCTTCCCCGCATCTCTCCAGAATAAACACGAACCTTCCTGCTCCTCCCGGCCTCCTCCTCTCCAAAGCGCTGGCGGTTTGGCAGGGCTTTGGCGAGCGAGGAGCTCAGACGCAGGAGACACCCGCTCCGCAGCAGCAGACATACCGCCTGCCATCCAACCCTGCGCGCCGGGGCCGAAAGAAAAGCAGAAAAAAGAAAAAAAAAAAAAAAAAAGAGAGAGAAAACAAGTCGCAAAGAGGAGTCGGGGCCCTCTCCCCACGGGCTGGAGCTGCTCCAGCTGTGCAAGAGTCAGCGCAGGAGAGCGGCTCGGCAGCTCTGCCTTAACTTTTCTCACCGCGATGATCCTCCTGGGTGACTGAAAAATGAAACCCAAATGCCCTCTAACGGCCTGGCACCAGCGTGCAGAGGGAGCGCGTGTCCCACACTTGGAAGGAGCAGCAGTTTAGGTGACGATCTCTCCGGGTGAGATCTGGACAGTGTAGACGTGCGTTTGCGGAATTGAAAATAAAGATGTGCTCATCTCGGTGCGGAGCTTGCCTGAGCCTGTGATTGCAGGATGATCCCGGCTCCGGTGAGCCCCCAGGAGCTCTGCTCACTCCAACCTGGCTGCTGCAGGAAAAGCCTGACCCAGGACCCTGGCGGCTTAGAGGCACCTCAATTCTGGCTGCTTAGAATAAGAAAAAAAAAATCATAATTAAAAAAAAGTGAATCAAAGCCCTGAGAATGTTATTGCAGTATATTATATCCTGGATTAAATTCTGCCCCTTTGCTTTTTGCCAGCCATAGCTCCGTCATCTCTGCTGATGGGACCAGCCCTGGTTTCTCACGCCATCGCTGTGCCCGGGTCTCTGCTCGCTGCTGGGACACGTGGGAGAGCATGGCATGGTGCTGGCTGGGTTACTGATGGGTCTGCAGCCCAGGCACTGCCCAGGCCGTGCCTCTTCTCAGCCTCCCAAAAACCAAAGCCTAAATTCTTCCCCCGCAACTCATCCCTCCTCCCTCCAGCCCCACACCTCCTCCGCTCACCCCAAACTAGCATTGCCCCAGCATTGCCACCATCATCACCAGCTGACTGTCCTCCTGACCCAGCCCAACACGATACCTGGGCAGATTTGGGGGTGCAGGGGCAAAAGGCTAAATGGCAGAGGGAGATCTCCTCTCCCAGCCAGAGGGAAGACCCCCCACAAGAAGCAGGAAAAGCAGCAGGGTCAAGGACGCCATTCGCCTCTTCCCCCAGCCCTTGCAAATGCTGAAAATAAAATTAAAGTCAAGGATGTTTTTCAGGTACCTCTTGGCAGGAGGAGGGGAGAGAGAAAAAAAAGATATATCTCATTGCTCATGCAGTAAAACATTGCTTACAAAGAGAATTATTTACTGTGATCATCTGGTGCTCTGCCCGAATACAAATCACTAATTCAGTTTGATACAGGGGACGTGGTGAACCTCTGGCAGGCAGCGAATCGCAGAGTGAACGTGGCCTGGTCTGCAGCTTTTGTTGACTTATTTCACCTCCACAACTGCCGTGCCAAAAAAAGCGGTGACATGAGGCTAACGTAGATTTTAAAGGCACAATGTTCCTCGATTGACATGGATAAGACACATCCTGTGTACTGAAAAACCTGGTTTGAAGCCAGTTTATGTTTGAGCATACTGGGACATGGCCACCAAGTCAGGGTAAGCTGCTGGCCAGGAGTGCTGCTGGGCATCTCACCCCCTTCCCAAATCCTGCCCAGCCACCTCTGGGTGATGGTAAAAATCAAAAGGTCACTTTTTAAGCAGCAACCTGTAATTTTTATCTCAAACAGAAATGACTCAATGCACCTCTGCTATAATTTACTCTCTTTTTTTTTTTTTCTGCAAAATGTCATTTCTCCCTGATTCACTGAGCAGAAAACATCTAAATAATGAATTAATGAATCCAAATAAATCAGAGTTATTTTTCCCTAAGAATACAGGGAAATCAACTCTTGCAATTTGATTGCCAGTCTCACAACATTTGCTATTCCCTCTAAAGCCCTGCTACCCTGGAAACATGGTTATTTGAGGATCAGGTTTATTGCAGCCTCTGATACAGTGGGTCCCAGGCTCTGCCTGCTCTTGTGGGGCAGTAGAGAAATACTCTGCTACCCCCAGATGATTGTGGTCACCTGTAAAGTTAAAAAAAAAAAAACAAACAACCCCAAACCAGAAGACAACTCACCTCTCTCCTCAAAGCATACTGCCACATCTGCACACACAAATGGCATGTGGTTTGACAGCCGTACTCCTGGACCGGCGGTGAGCAATAGATCACAGCTCATTTCGGTGTAAGCACACTCAGCAGCTGAAGGAGAAACTGTGCTCCTGCATGAGTAAACAACGTGCATCAGAATGTTTTTTTTTCCCCAAGCCATTCTCATGACTGATGATTTTTAAATGCATGGAGTTGGCTGAGAAATGAGTCCCTCATTAAAGCTAACCATTTTCAGCTACCTCCCCAAGCATGGGAATGCAGTACTCGATAAAAAACAGTAGATCAAGGTTCTTTTTTTGCTGTTGAAGAGCCTTGAATTGGTTGCCTGAAAGCCCATCACTTGTGTTTGCTGCCAGCAGGATCTGTCCCAGCCCCGTGCTCTCACACTGCCCTGGATGGGCTGGCAGCAGCATCGCTGCCGTGTGCCAGAGCTGGGCACTGGAGGGGGGCATCCTGATATGGGATGATCAGGGAGGAGCTGGGTGGAAGCACCTCTATTGCAAGTGAAATCACGGGTCAAGAAAACACTTTAAACACACACGGAGGCAAGCAGGGGAGAGGAGAGGAGCTGTGCTGCTGCGTGAGTGCCCCAGGGAGCATGCAGGAGGGCACGGGGCTACAGCCAGGCACGGGCAGTGCTCCCTCTGCCCTGCTCCTCTCCTCCCGTGGCAGGAGGTACCCAGCACCAAGCCTTCATTTTGGGGACCCAAGACAGTTTTGTCCACACTGCTGAGGGCAGCTTGTGACCCTTCCCGTGATTACAGCAGTCTTCCCAGCCAGCTACTCTCTCTGCCTCAGTTTCCCCAATGATTGTTGCTCTGGGACAAAGGGAACCATCCCAGTTTGATCCTCTCATCCTGCTGCACCTCCGCGCCTCCATAAAGTTGCTCTGCAAGTGCCACCCTACCCCCAGGCAGCAGGAGTAGCTGAAACACACGGAGGCGAAGGGGGCAGGAGCAGGGCAGGATGGAGGACTGCTTTCCTGAGGGGTGAGCCCCCATGGACCCTCTCTGCTGCTGCTGCAGGAGCACAGTCCCACCAGAGCCTCTGCAAACCTCAGAAAAGCCATATCCTCGCCCCACGGAAACAGCTTTTAAGCTTTTAAGCTACACCTCTTGGGGTGAGATTTTTATCATGTAGGCAGGAAATAACACACAGAGTTTCCTGTCATTTATCCATCAGCCCCATCGAGCAGTTTTCAGAGTCAACACGCACTGATACTCACACCACACAGCTACCACCACCTCACATCTTGGGCTTCCCTGCGCTGTCCCCGACCTGCCATGCCTGAGCACGGTCCAGCAGCGACCTTTGGCTGCTTCCAATGAGCAAAGGGCAGCCGGGATGGCTCAGCAGGACTTGCCCCGCTCCTTCCCCGCTGGCAGAGGTGATACCAGCCTCTATCCACCCCCTGCCCTAGATTAAGTTCTGGGGAAGCAGGTGGCCACAGCCCTTCTCGGGCCCAGCCCATCAGTTGAAGTTGTTTTGCCAAGGTCATTTCCCTATGGCGTGCCAGGGTAAACCTTCTCCTTTCTGATTGCTGGCATGTTTACTCCTGTGTCTGAAGATAAAGTTATTTCTGGCCTCATTTACGCAGCAGCAGCTGCTCAGCAATGCAAACGGGGGCTGGCTTCCCTTGGGGGTCGGCTTCCCTTGGGGGGTCCTCCTCGGGGTCCTTGCTTTTAGCTCTTGCCCCAGCATCGCGGCATCATCTGTGTGACATCCCCTGCCACAGGGAAAGCAGGAGAGGAAGGTCACAGCCTGGGATTCCTGCCCCGCTTGGGTCAGAGAGCCGGGGGAGGATTTTTGGGTAGGGATATAGAAGGGGGCAGCAAGAGTAGGATGTTACTGCGTGTTTAGGGGAGGCGTGGGGGTTCGGCAGGGAGCGGGGCTGCTGGCATGGCTGCCTGCTGGAGCAGGGCTGGCAGCAGGAGCCCCATGGAAAGCTGCCAGCCTCCACCTTACCCCGGCTCCCGGTGCTCCGGGATGAGCAGTGGGGCCGGGAGAATGGCTGTCAGGAGTGAAGCGAGTGGCAGCTCGCGGGGTGCTGGATTTCAACCCCACCCCCCACCCCCCCAAAAGCATCTGGAGGGATGGCGAGGGGGGGTCTCCTCACCCTGAGCGGGACAGAGCAGAAGCAGGCTGAAAGCTCTGGAGCCCCCGTCTTCAGGCATCTCCCCTCCCTTCCCCTCCCCGCTCCCTTCCTCCACAGCGTCCAAAATAGTCGTGGGCCTGCGTGTCCCCGGCGCCCGGCTCAAAATATCTCAAGAGGGCTGGCAGCCGGCGCCGGGGGAGCCTGCGGACACCGGGGCTTTCGGCTGAGCCACATCCTCCCCAGGCTCCCGGGAGAGCCCTGCGCCCCGAAACTCCCCCGGCCGGGGCCGTGGGGAGCGGAATCCCTGGGGAACTTGGGGCTGGCTCTGGGCCGCCCCGCCCCTGCCACCACCGTCACCGCCCCGGCAGCAGCCACCCCGCTGTGTGGGACGGGCCTGTCACAGCACCCCGATGGCCACCGAGGCTCTCGGCCGGTCGCCCGGCAATGGCAGCGGGGCCCTGTGCCCCGTGGACACCGCCTTCGCCCAGCGCTTCTTGCCCACCGTCTACCTGGTGGTGATCCCCCTGGGGCTGGTGGGGAACGGGCTGGGGCTGTGGCACCTCTGCACCGGGCCCCGGCGGGGCGCCCGCCATCCCCTCAGCCTGCTGGTGGGCAACCTGGGCATGGCCGACCTGCTGTACGTCAGCACCCTGCCCTTCCTCGTCAGCTACTACCTGCAGGACAGAGCCTGGGTCTTTGGGCACGTCTGGTGCCGCGTCACCCGGGCCCTCTTCCACCTCAACCTCTACGCCAGCATCGGCTTCCTCACCTGCATCAGCGTCCACCGCTACCTGGGAATCGTGCACCCACTGAAGGTGCGGGGTCGGTACGAAGGGGCAACCTCTTCTGCCTGGCTCATTGTGATGGTCTGGCTGTGGGTCATCGCGCAGGTGGCTCCCGATTTCGCCTTCAGCAAGATGGACAACACGGGGAGGCAGTGCCATGACACGACAGGGAACGACGACCTGGACGCTTACTTGCCATACAACTTAGCCATCACCGCGATTGGGTTCATCATCCCGTTCCTCATCATCATCGGGTGCTACTGTCACGTGGTGGTGGTGCTCTGCAGGAACGACACTGTGGACCTCAGCCTCAGGAGAAGAAGCATCAGACTGGTGATTCTCGTGATGGTCCTTTTCTCCATCTGCTTCCTGCCCTACCACATCTTCAGGAACCTCAACTTGTTGTCTCGAAAGTGGCAGCTGGAAGGATCCTGCACACAGGCTTTAAAGAACATCTACGTTTCCTACCAGGTGACCCGGGGGCTGGCCAGCTTCAACAGTGCCCTCAACCCCCTGATCTACGTGATGACCAGTGAAGAATGCATGACACGTATGAGGACCATCCACCAAAAAGCCAGCCGGTCCCTGGGGTTCACCTCCAGCAGGAAAACCTCCAGCCAGGTGGATGAGAAGAAGATAAACATCATTCTTTGTGAGGAGGAAGCTTCTGATGAGCTCTGAGGTACCCAACACCCCCTCCAAAGGATGGCACCACTTCAGTTTGTGCTTGGCCCCTTCTCGGGAGCAGCCCCCCCACCTTGATGCCTGTTTTGCAGAGAGATGGTGTTTGCAGCATCACTGGCTCCAGTCTCACACAAGGGACAGGCAGGACTGCTGGCCTCAGAGAGCAAGCTGGGACCAGGTTTGAGAGCAAAGCCCAACCATTTTGCCGATAGTACGCTTGAAGACGGAAAGAGATGAACATCGCGTTTGCTCCAGTCCTGAAGTGTTTCTCAGTCCAGCCTCCAATGCAGTGATCCGAGCTGGTTAACATCCCCCTGGCTCCCTGGAGGCCCATTGAGCTCCTCAGTGAGTGAAGGATGGGGACAAACAATGCCTTGTCCCCCCACCGTGTCCCCTCTCCCCCAATGGACGTGGGTTTGAGACAGGATTCCATGCTTCACTCAAGGAGAGGGCACCAGGAATTAACCACCTGCATTGCAGAACAGCTGAGAGGGTGAATTTTTGCAGGGGGAAGTGCTCTGGAAATGGAAATATTCATAAAAATATCAGGTTTTGAATATATGACTAAGCTGTGCCAGTTCCTGGGTTAGCTGTTCCTGGGTGAGTGAGCTGCTTCAGGATCTGTGTTATCCTCTGCTGCCCACATCCTTCACAGAAGAAAAAAGTATATTGGCATTACTCACTCTTTTTTGGAAGAGCACACAGCAGACAACAAATTGGCATTTTAAAGTTTCTGGAGGCTGTTGGTTGGAGGTTTTTTTTGCAAGGTGAATGACAGCAGAACCACCACTTTCAGCAGGCAAATCCCAGGAGAGTTTTGAAATCTTCAGGTGGGTGGCTGCAGTTTACTCTTGCATCCAGCCTCGCGAGGGGATTAGACAGGTCTATTAAAAATTAGACATGCAAAAAAAAGAGAGGCAACGCTGGTTTGCAGGGTTGTGGAGGCAAGATTCAATGGCAAGGGCAGTGCGTGTGGCATCACCGGGGGGGATCTCTGCTTCGGGGGGAGCAGAGGCTCCCGAGCAGCGTTTCGGTTTTTGCTCTTGGTGCTCACCACCACGAACAGCTTGAACATTTCAGACCTTGTGAAAGGAGCAACGTGATTTGCAGCAGCAGATCTCGCAGCTCAGCTGAATCAAGTGGACTGTGAGTTAAAAATCAGCTGGGGAAGTGCTGACCCGCAGACGCTGCGCTCTTTGGACCAAAGCCCGACACTTATCACGCTCAGCCACTCCTCGCACGGACCCATCTTCGCTGCTGCGCAGAGGGAGCCACCGCTGGCTTTCAGATGGAGTTAATGGCTAAAGTGCAAATAAACACCTCATGCTTTCAGTTTTGAGTTGTCTGGCTTCTCTTAAAGCTTTACAGGAACTCAGGAGCCAGCTGGCCTGCTGCTGGAGCAGGGGCCTGCCTCCTGTGGGGAGTGGTGATGAGTTTCCCAGGTCTCTGCAGACGGGGAGCTGCGGGGAGCCCTCCCTGCCTGCACAGCCAGACAGCAGGCAGTTGCTGAAGAGCAGTGCTGGGCCAGGCATGCACTAAGGTAGGTCCCCCAAATCTACTCAGCAAAGTCCTGAAACTTTCAGCTCCCACCTCATCCAGAGGAAATCAAAAGACAAAGCTTAAATGCCCAAACGAGATGTTCTTCTGTCTCTGCAGTAAGGAAGATCTTTGGGATGTTAGGAACAGGTCCAGCCTCTGCTGCTTGCACACAGTCCCCAGACCTGGGCTTCTCCAGAGCTCTGAACTCTTCTTCTTTCCTGAAAAAACACCCACACCTCCAAAAGCTGTCCAGCCCTTCCATCTTCACACACGGATCCCATCCATGAGGTTACAGCTCCTGGCAGATCCAGCTTTGGCCCCCACAGCCCCCCCGAGCTGCAGCACCCTGTCACTGCACCCACTTTGGGCCTGATTAATAGAAATAAAGCATCTCAGCATCCTGGGGCCAGAGCGCTGGGTAGGAAACACCAGCAAACTCTGCTCTCACCTCCTGCATTGCTGTCCCCAACTCTGTCTTCTCCAGTGCCCCCTCATGTCATTGGCAATGATGATTTAAAGAGCTGTATCCCAAGAAGCACCTCTGAGCCCCATGGGCAGTAGCAGCCATACAGCTGATCATTTTTCTTGTCCTGTTTCTGTCAAATCAGCAAAGGCCAGTAATGACCTGTGTGTTGGGACAACGGCCTGGAGATACAGGGGGGTTTTTGGTATCTCATGCTTTGCAGTCCCCTTGGTTCTCAGATGACACTGCTTCCCCTTGTGAACTGAAGAAATGAGCTCCTTCCCTTCATTAGCTCTATGTGTAATTAGGAGCCAACTGCTGGCACATGAGCCTGTGGCCAGATTTTGCAGCTGGTGATGGAGCAGCAAAGCTCTCCTTCCTCCAGCCCTCGCCATCGAGGGAGGCTTCTTCCCTCGCAAAGAGCAGCCGCCGCTCTCTGCAGGACACTGCAGGTGCATGGTCCCTGCTGGGGGCCCCCCCAAAACACGTGGCCACTGCTGACCTCTCCAAATCTTCTTATCCCCTGGGAGCAGAGGGGTGGGATTCTCCCTGGAGCAACCAGCACGGGCAGCTCTTGCTCTGTGCCCGTCCCCACTCATGGCACGGGGAGCTGAGGGGGCAGCACGTGTTTCGGCAGCGAGTGAGGGGTCAGAGAAGGTGGGGAGCTGCCATATTCCTCCTCCCCCTTCTTCCAGCAGCTCTGCCAGCCCTTGGCAGGACCTTGCACAAGCTTTGGTGCTGGCAGGAGGGGTCAGTGCCCACCAGAGCTGCTGTGCATCCTGACCCAGGCATCACCCTCGGCTCCTGGCTGGCACAAGCGTGGGGAGAAGACCTGAGCAGAAGACCTTTGGCAGTGCCTCAGGGGCTGGCTTTGAGTGAGGTCCTTTTTCCCCACTGCTGCAGAGACCTTCCAGTGCTGTCAGGGTCCTTCACACGAGCTGCACATCCTCAGGGGGTGAGATGGCTCCACGGGAAGAAATAAATTAATTTCACCTCTTCTGGGCTCCTGGCTTAAGATGATCTGAACATTCCTCTTTCCCTCCCCTGGCTATCTGTTGCTGGACTCGAAGATGCCTAAAATCAGGCGAGAGGAATCCCACCTGTACCGTCTGCTTTTCCCATGGACTCTCTGGCACAGCCACGTGGAGCAACGAACTTGTCTGCAAATCCGACCCCGACGCAGATTTTTAACTTCCTTATGCAGATCAGACCCGACCAACAAACCAAACATGGTGGGAACTCTCCCGCTGACATTAATGGGATCGGGATCAAGCCTGGAAATTTGGCAGCATTTCTCGCTTCATTAAATAAAAGCCTCTCGGTTGAGGATTTGTTGCAAACACAGTCAAGATTTGTTACTTTAAGGAAAACTTTTGAGCTGACAGCCCCGGGAAGCTGTTCAGGCAGAATTAACAGGCACATGTACAGATGCACAGATGTACCACCACTTTCTTTCCCTAAAATGCAAAACTGTTTTTCTTGGCATGCAAAGCACTCTGCAAGAAGAAACTATCGCTATCGGCAGCAGCTGAATGCATAGGACTCAACTCTGTTTAATTCTGTATTTCCACTTTGCACAGATTTCTAAAAAGAGACTAAACGTGTCATGTTTCCAAGGTCTTTGTGTTTCTGGAGGCACCGAGCAAAGCCAAGGGGCAAAGGCTGCCGTGTGTGAGCCAGGGGGAGTGGGAGAGAGCAGCGAGTACCACAGGAGGCACAGAAACTCCTCGAGTTCAGCCAAAACACGGCCAGTTTCAGAGCTGCTGGCTCCAGAGGTGCCAGGCATTAGCCCCCAGCAGCGAGTCCAGAGTTCATGGCATGTGGGAACTGGGAAACTGGGACTGTTTAGTTTGAGGAAGAGGAGACTGAGGGGTGACCTCATCACTCTCTACAACTACTTGAAAGGACACTGTAGAGAGGTTGGTGCTGCTCTCTTCTCACAAGCAATTAGCGATAGGACAAGAGGGAATGGCTTCAAGCTGCAACAGGGTAGGTTTAGACTAGACGTTAGGAAGAAATTCTTCACAGAAAGAGTGGTCAGACACTGGAATAGGCTGCCCAGGGAGGTGGTGGAGTCACCATCCTTGGATGAATTTAAGAGTCATTTAGTTGTGGTGTTGGGGGATATAGTATAGGGAAGAACTTTGTAGAGTAGGGTAGATGGTTGGGCTCGATGATCCCAAGGGTCTTTTCCAACCTAGATGATTATATGATTCTACATGATACATGGCCTCTGGCTGAAATCTGGCTCTGAGCTGCCCACCTCGCTTCAGGGGGGTTGGTAGGGCAAATAAAGCCCTGCTTGCTAAACAAGCATGGGTTGGCTGCCCCTGTGCTGGAAAAACATGGGGTTATGCATTTGTGTCAGAGATTTCCACAGCCTGGGGGAGCGGGAGCTGCTGCTCAGGCGAGGGCTGGGGACTGAGATGATGCACAGGGTCCTTGCTGTGCAAACAGGGCATCTCCCCGGGCCCAGGAGGAGGTGTGAAGACCACTTAGGGAGCTGGAGGAGAAGCTGCATGAGCAGGAGGCTCCCGCAGGTCTCGTCTCCCCGTTACACCGGGTACCGGGCAGCGGGAGGACCTTGTGGTGCGTCTTTTATGGCGTGGTGGGAGGCTGCAGCGCACACACAAAAAGGGATGAGTCACTCAGGTCACTAATGAAAGGTCACAGCATCCCCAGATTCAGCGAGAGGCATTTATTTCTTCAGCAAAACAATTTCATTGCTAAAGTACCTTTGGCTACAGGGACAACAGACCTGACAGGTTATCTTATTTACCAAGGATATCGATCAGACTGGGAAAGGAATAGTAGAAGCAATTACTCCAGGTGACCTGGAAAAAATGGTAAATATACCTGGGACTGGGTGCCGTTGGTGAAGATTTTAATAAAAGAGAAAAAAAATCTGAGCACTTGTCTATGCTACGCAGTGTTTTGGCATCTGGGAGACCAACAGCTTGTGAAGGAAGAGCAAATCACATAAATAGAATAACATTTAGCGTGACTGTGTGAGGCCATCAGCCTAATATTACTCCTGCAGTGCGTGTGGTTATAAATAGGTGAAGCTGTGTAGCGTGGGGCCCGGGGAGAGCCGGAGCTAAGGAATGCACTTGCAGCTCGTTGGCAGCGCTGCGCAGCTGGATCAGAGCGACTGCGGCTGCACCCTGCAGGCAGGGATGTGTCCTGGAGGTGACACCACATCGGCGAGCCCAGGATGAATAGAGATGTGCTATATTTCAGGCCATCCCTCTAAATAACACCCCCCAGCAGCCAGCCTTCCGTGCCCCTGGCCATGGAGGTGTCCTGGAGGTGACACCACATCGGCGAGCCCAGGATGAATAGAGATGTGCTATTTTTCAGGCCATCCCTCTAAATAACGCCCCCCCCAGCAGCCAGCCCTCCATGCCCCTGGCCGTCGGTGCTGCTGGTTGCTCAAGGCAGGAGAGCAGGGCAGTGAGAAACCCCTCAGGAGCTGCTCTCTGCACCATGGCCTGTGCTGGGGACTGTAGCTTCAATTTTGCCCAACGCCTCTACTCTGCCCCAACCAGGAGATGCTCAGGTCGGATCTGACTCCCTGAAGAGCCCTTCATGCCAGGGCACAGCCCAGCCAGCGTGAAATTCTTCTGCTTGTTTGGGCTCATGGGCAAAACGTTTACCCTAAGGAGCCTCAGAAAGCTCCCAGGCTTCTCCATAGCGCCACAGCTCCTCCCCAGAGAGGCTGCTTCCACACTGTGCAGAGGACATCCAAGGACAAGAGACAGATTAACTCCATCCTGGCTGCCTTTGCTCTGATGCAGAGGTGCTGCTCAGCAGAGGTGGGGGAGAACTGCACACCACAGCTCCCACTCAGCTCTTACTGGCCCAGAACTGCAGCACTGCTGTGCCTCCAGTCCACCACATTTAGGGTGAGAAGGTCCCATGGCGATGGGAAGCTGCTGGCCCAGAGGAGAGCTCAGGGGCAGGTTTGGTGGTGGTGATGCCAAGAGCCAGGCACTCTCACCGAATGAAGTGTTATTTGGTTGTGGAGGCAAAAATCCCCCTCAAAAAGAGTGTGCAGTGCTGGGATGGCAACACAGTGCCACGCTGGGAGCCCAGAGGAGCTGGGGACACAGAGAGCCCTTGGGATGCAGCTCATCTGGGTGCCTGGGGCTCTCCTGGACCTCAGCAGGTCTGCAATACCCAGCAGATGCTGCAGCCTCCCCAGGGCTGCTGGGGGAAAGCATCTCTCTGTGTGCAAAGCACAAACAGTCCCATGAGCACAGCCAGTGCCCCACTGCCCTGAGCTGGGAGGTGGGAAGAGCTGAGGTTAGT